AGTACTTCCCTCAGGGTTCACGTGATTAATATATGTAAAGCACTTTCACTATGTAAATGTGAGTTATTATTAATTAATTATATCAGAACCCGGATATCAACTTAAGGCCTCAGATTCAAATCTAGGTCTCTTTTCACCTACAAGAATGTCTGTCTTTGAGTGGGTTTCTGCCTAAGTCTATGTGTACCAGACTGAAGAAACATCTTGACAGACTCTTGTTAGTCAATCTTTGAAAACTGGAATGCCCCGTCAGTTGCAGATTTGTCCTAAAATGCTCTCTCAAATTTTTTTTTTTTGCAGCCTGCTGTTTGTGGAGCTGCTGATCTGACACATCCCCACCTTGTCTCAGTACCAATTCTGATCTCACCTATTTGCCAGGAGGTAGAGGCTCTTCACTAGCTTCTAACCCCCTCCAACTGCAGTACCTAGATAACCCCACTTGCACTAATTAGACTTTATATTTGATGATAAGGTGACTATAGGATTTACAGCTGGAAGGGCTCATTTCTGAGCAGGGCCCTTAGTCCAAACTTCCATGTTTTGTTTCAATAACTTAAGAGAATTAGTAGGGGCAGTGCAGAGCACAATTGAAACAACTGAAATGCAGGATGCACAGATTTTGAGAATCCACCCCAAACGTTCATAGGAGTCTTTGTGCCTGACTTGTGGCAGAGCGTTCCAAGCTCATATGGGTCTGGTCAGCCACAATCAGACATACTGAAACCTGACTCTAGCATAGTGATGTCATTTTGGTCTTCTTCAAGAACGACATGGGGCAGTTGGAAGGCAATGAGCAAAGGACAAAGGGATTAATTCTTCCTTCTCAAACTAGCTATTTTGAAACCTTCCTAGGGAACAGGACACTCCACCATTTTTGTGGCTCGGGAACACTTGCTGACAGTTAACCCTAAAAATAACACAGCTGTGTTATCTAATTTTAGAAAACAGTCTCTAGAAGACAGGGATTTTACCTATTTTATTGGTAAATGCCTTTCCTCATCTACAAATACCACTGTTTTTCTGTAAATTTAGAATCATGATACCAAGAGCTGAAAGAGATCATGAGGTCCAACTCCCTCATTTTACAGATGAGAAAGCTGAGGCACAGAAAGAGGAAAGGATTTGTCCAAAGTCACAAAGGTAGCAAGCGGTAGAGCTAAAGAGTTTCTAGCCCAGATCTAAAATCCAAAGACCAGTACTCTTACCACTAAGGAAAAGATAAAAATACACAAAGGACCAAATTCCTTTGTTGTTAAAATTTTTGGAAATAGTATCTTATTCGTATACAAACTATTTAGCTTTTGTTCACTTCCTATTGTAGAATGGCATACAATTAATTCATCATGCAGCATAGTGTAGTGGATAGAGTGGCATACGTGAGAGGAAAACCTGGGTTCAAATCCTGCCTCAGACACTAGCTATGTGCGACCCCAGGCAAGTCGGCATACAGGCGGCACTTTGACTTGACACAGCTTCTCTTGGCCTGTTTCCTCCTCTGCAAAATGAGGGGGCTGAATGTAATGGACTCTAAGGTCCCTTCCTATGATCCTTTAAGAGGCAGCTTGATGTAACAAATGTACCCGGGTTCAAGTCCTGAGATATCAGGGCTGGGAAAGGTACTTTGCCTTTCTAATCCTTAGTTTCCTCATCTGCAAAATGAGGACGACGATGTTTGCCCTATTAACCTCACAGGGTTTTGCACTGAAATGCTCTGCAAACCTTGAAGTGTTCTACACATTCAAGTTGTGATGAATGGGATACCAGTCATTCTGTAAACTGTAATGAAAAATAGTATACAGATAACACACTGAAATTTTAGCTAAGGAAACAACCCGGAAATTTCTAGTTAGAAATTTAAAAGATGAAAGGTCATCTTAAGACTTTTTCAAAATTACCCACTCCTAGGTATGACACATCATGTTGATGTGTGGAACCTTGTAGTATTTCTTTAGAAGTGGAAGTCTGGACACGAACCTCTGTATATGCTTTGATTTTGTAGTACCACAATTCATTTTACAATACATTATCTACTTTTCTTCCAATAAAACCATTGTTTACCCTGGCAAGCTAAAAATCAGCTTGAAAAATGCATGGTGAATATACTAAATACCAATGTCAAAATAATTCTGAACTTTTACCCTTTCCTGCTTAATGCCCCAATACCAAGGATTGCTATTTCCAATATCTAGAAGTCTTTTATTTCAGCACACAATCAAAAAGTTGTTATTAATCCTAAATGTATGCTGCTGTGCTGACCTCTTAAAAGAACTTGCTTAGACTAGATCTCTGAGACCTACCCCTCCAGAAAACCCTAATCTCATGGAAAATTATGCCAGTGACCTCATAGGATCAGAGATTTACACCTGAAAAGGACAGTAGTAGTCCAACCCCCTCATTTTACAGATGAGGAAGTGGGAGTCCCCAAGTAATGACATGACTTGCCCAAGGTCACACAGCTAATAAGTGGGAGGTCCAGGATTTACACTCAGGCCTCCTGACTCCAAATCCAGTAAGCTTTCCACCGTACCATATACTGTCTCTCCTCCATTCATTCTAACCCAGGACATTCTGAAGATGCTACTCAAAGGGATGTGGTGGGTGAACTACATGATGTCCTTTTTTCTCCTTATTTCTTTTCCATTCTAAAGTATGGTGCCGTCACTCTGAAAATCACACAGGTACTTGTTTTGGCAGCAAAATAATAAAATTGTACTGATAAAAAGATTAGCATGGCCCCTGCCCAAGGATGACTCAAATTTGTGAAGAGTTCCCTATTTTTCTTTAATTAAAAAAAAATCACACAGGTTTACGGTCTACAGCATTCAACTGAAATCTTCCTTTAGTTAGAATTCAAGTTGTTAAAAGAGCTGTATTATATTTAACTTCCCATGTGGCCTGACAGAACCATTTATAATTGGTTATTACATAATAGTGACTCAAGATAGACTGTCCACATTACCAACCTAGGGTATACATCTCTAGTCACAACTTCTCTTGTTTCAAGCTGGACATGTTCAGTACCAATACAGTTAAAACCACATCTAACAATTACAGAAGGGGAAACTGGTCAGTTCATGAAAGAACAAGAGGCCAGTGGTAAGATTTACTTTTTCCTATCAGGTAATCTCAGAAAGTTTCATACATTTCTTCTGGTTTAACTAATGCTCAGTGACACAAAGCAGAGACTTGATTCCTTAGTAGGACTTTCAAAACTAGATGTCTATACTTTACCTCTAAGCCATAGCTATTCTGCCTTTGAGAGAAAAAAAACCTGCTAATAAAAAACTCGTATCTTGATCATAAAACAAATCTTGAGAAAACATTGGATTTCTAAAATAACAGATACAGAAGAAATAAACTCAATAAGCTTATCTACTACCAAGTCAATACTGTATCTCTAGCACTCCATCTCCTCTCCATCACTCTCCTCCCACCCCTCTTCTCAACAATCATCACCAGCCCTCAAATGATGCCATCATTGATGAATACCAGCTTCTGAATTACTCTTTTCAAGGGAGAGGGAAAAGATAGAGGAATGATGGGTTTGGACAGCCGTCTTTTAACTTATAGGATTGTCCCTAACCTTATATCTTTCCCTCATCAGTGATGCTGTGGTCATAATGACAGGTCTTTGGATGATAAATTTCGATTTTTTTTAAAGGTGGAGGGCAGCAGGTGATGAGGAAAAGAGAGAAGGATAAGGGGCTCGGTTGCTTTGCCACCATCTAAGGCATATACATTTGATCCCACTGACCACTGCATCTCCCTCTGGAGGAAAGAGCTTAGGAGGGCGGAGCACTTCCCTCCCCATCTGGTTCTACGACTTTTTCCACTACTCCGCTATCTTAAGCTTTTTCCACCCCCATCCTCCCACTGTCCGTATTTAAGGCTGGGCTTCCTAATTCACTTCCGGTGACAAACTCCTCCCCCTGCCTTTAGAAATAATGTAACAATTTTGCCCCAATTTTTTTTTCTAAAGGGAACCGTAGGTTGCAGCCTTCGAGCTTCGCTGAGACTAAGGTTTTCTCTCCCCCACCCACCAACCCAGCCAGCTGTGCACAGCTGGGGCGGGGAAAGGGAGCTTGTAAGGTGAAGGAGGAAAAGGGAAGAAAAGGGGGGGTAGGATCTCCACCCCACCTCCACTATTCCCATTGCTGCAGATGGGGGGGAAGTATCCAATCCCCCCCACCCCTCCCCTCCCATTCTCGCAGTGAACAACCCCCAAACCAATTTCCCCCAGTCTAGGTAGGCTTTGGGGGACCTCGTCTCCGCCGTCACCATCCCCTCGCCTGGCTCTTCTTCCCCCCCTTCTCCTACCCCCCCCCGGGAAGGCCTCGTTTGTCTGTAGGGATCCAGCAGCAGCAGCTGCTGCGGAGGCCGCGCTCTGCACAACTGCAGGGGTTTGGGGGGTGGCCAGGGGCAGGGCGGCAGCGACAGCTGGAGCAGCTGTGGCGAGTGGAGGGGGGAGTGGAGTAGAAAGCGAACGCGGGGCAGACAAGCGGGTCCCCAGCTGTTCCAGCTGCTGCTTCCTCCACCGCTGGCCCGTGCAATATTTTTTCTCCTGTCTCCCTTCTCTTCACCCCCCCATCTTTCTCACCGCTACCTGAACCCTCCCTGGGAGCGCGCACACACACTCCCCAGCAGCAGGTCTCAGGCCTGTAGGGGGGAGCGGGGAGGAGCTGGGGTGGGGGGGCAGGGGGAGGCCTGCGAGTTTCTAACCTTGTTCTTATAAACAAACCCACATGTGCAGCTGCCGCTGCTGCAACTCACCCCACAATCCCGGATACAAGTCCTGCCCCTTTAAGAGAGAGAGGAAAAAAAACAACCTTCCCCAGCCCGCCTCCCACCCCTCCCTTCCCCTCCCTTTGACAGGGACCTTTGTCTCCCTCCCGTCGGCCCCGCCCCTCCTCCTTCTCCATCTCCTCCTCCTCCTCCTCCTCCCTAACCTTCTCCTCCTCCTCCTTCCCATTCCCCTCCTTCCACCTTCCCCCGCCTCCTCCCTTCTGGCACCCGCCGGCCCACTCCTTCCCTCCGCCGTCTCAGAGAGGCGGGGGAGGGGGGTAGAAGCGACCCAATAGCGAGAGAGAATGAGGTCGGGGCTGCGGCGTGGCCTGCGTGAGCCAATGAGAGGGCACCTTAGTGAGGGGCCCCTCGGAGCGCGCGTCTAGCGAGAGACGGGAAGGGATCGAGAAAAGCTGAGAGAGTTATTGAGAGGAGGGGGATATGGAGGCCCCGGACAGTGCGGCTGCAGCCGAGTGCACCGCCTCGGCTGTTCCTGCGGAGATGCTGGCGGCCAACGGGGACATGGGCGGGCCCCGGGGTGGTGGGGGCTTAGGCCTGGTGCCGGAGCGGCTCCAGAAGCGCGAGCAGGAGCGGTTGCTGGAGGTGGAGCGGCGGAAGCAGGAGCGGCAGAGCCAGACGGTGAAGGAGGAGAAGAGCGACTTCTTCGCGGCCGCCTTTGCCCGTGAGCGGGAGGCCGTGGAGCAGCTGCTGGGGTGCGCGGGCCAGGAGGCGCCGTCGCGGCTGGACGAGGCGGCCTCGCGGCTGCAGGCCCTCCAGAAGCTGCTCAACGACGCCGTGTTCTACCTGGCGCCCTACGACGTGCGGCTCGGCCAGGAGGCGCTGGCGCGGCTGCAGGGGGCCCTGGCCGAGCGGCGCCAGGAGCTGCAGCCCAAGAAACGCTTCGCCTTCAAGTCCCGGCGGAAGGAGGCCGCCGCCCCGGATCCCAGCCCCGCGGCCGATGCCCCGCAGCCGCCGCCGCCCGCGGCCCTGCCGCCCGGCCAGCTCCACGTCCCCTCCGGCTTTGGCTTCTCCAACCGGGAGTCGCAGACCCTGCAGATGCGGGCCGAGGAGCTGCACCAGCGCGACATCCTCCTGACCGGTCTGACGGACTGCACCGTCCGGCTGTACGGGAACCCCAACACGCTGCGGCTGACCAAGGCCCGCGGCTGCACGGTGCTCTGCGGGCCCGTCTCCACCTCCGTGTTCCTGGACGACTGCGTCGGCTGCGTCCTGGCCGTGGCCTGTCAGCAGCTCCGCACGCACAGCACCCGGGACACCCGCATCTTTCTGCAGGTGACCAGCCGGGCCATCGTGGAGGACTGCAGCGGCGTCCAGTTCGCCCCGTACTCCTGGAGCTACCCGGGCATCGACCAGGACTTTGAGGGGTCGGGGCTGGACAGAAACAAAAACAACTGGAAGGATGTGGACGACTTCAATTGGCTGGCCCGAGGTGTGGCCTCCCCGAACTGGAGTATCCTTCCAGAGGAGGAGAGGATAATCCAGTGGGATTGATCGGGCCAGTGACTTGCCGTTAAACCACTGTTTCTTCTAATTGACGCCGCGATGCACCTGTTCTTCACACTTGCACTTTATTACACGTTTTCAGTGTCTTAATACCGGCTATGGCAAGGATTCTTTGCTGTCATTTCCATTGTAAATAGCTCGCGTTTAAATAATGCAGTGCCTCTGGTAGTGGGTAGTTTAAAAATAGAGCTATCTTTATTTTTTTTTAACTTTTTATTTGTTAATGGCTAGATGATTCGGGTTGGCTACATTGGGATGAATAAAAATGAAAAAAGTCGTGAGTGTACGTTCCCTTTTTTAGTAGTTTTAGTGTCATGTGGAATATCACTGATTGCTAGTTAGTATAGAAAAACAGTTTTAGTGCCCTGTGGAATACCATCAATTGCTAGTGTAAAAAATCAGTGAGATTACTTAACACCCAGCAGATTGCTGTTGAATTATTTTGTAGGCCAACTCATTGTTTCGCGTTTGAGGATTGCTTTATGGTACTGCTTAATGGGTGGTACACAAACGTGTCTTCAAGCATTAATATCGGCTTTAGGGCTGTGGAATATAGCTGTAGAACCTAGCCCAGCGTCTGAGTTTATTTTCCTCCAGAGTTCTAGCATCGAGCTAATCTAATACAGAATTTCCCTGTGATTTGTTAAGAATTTGTAAGAACGGCCTTTATCAACTGGGGAGCATGCAACAGAGAACAATTGTTTTGTGAGGGTAAATTGCTAGAACTTTTTTAGGTTCCTGTTACTTTTAAATGAAGAGGATTGAGGCATATACCAGATAAGTCTGAAAGTCTTTTTCGGTCTCAGTTTTCTGTTTGTTTTTTTTTTAGAGGATAACTGGCATCCACAAGTTATTAAATGTATAGACATGCTTTTATAAAATTTTTAGGAGAAATGTTCAATCTTAGTGGTCTAAAATAAATTCTCTTAAGACCCGTATTTTATTTATACTTTGTAACTATAGAGTTTCAAAAAACCTTAGTCACATTAATTATCCTTCTAAGTTTGGTTAAATTGGTTGTAATTCTTATAAGTCATGTTAACCACAATCATGTAAAATTGCTGTAGGATCTTAAGAAGTAACATTAATAGAAAATGAAGTCTAGAATGCAAGGTGTTTTATGAAGAAAATGATCGGTATTAAAAATCTCAGCAGTGTTACCCATTGGGTGCCCTCTAGATGTAGACTGCTGTACTAGTATTTGGGGGAATTAAAATTAAATTTTTAAAAATAGTTCACGTTTACATACTCTGGGCTTAACACTTAACTATTCGCCTCAGTTTCCTTATCTGTAAAATGAGTATAATCATAGCACCTAGATCCCAGGGTTTTTATGAGGATCAAATGAAATAATTTTTGTAAAGTGCTTAGCATATAGTAACACTATATAAATATTAGCTATTAGTATTATAACTATTACATAGCACTCACTCTAAGCTTTACATATATTTAGCCTCATGGTAAACCCTATCAGGTAAAGTTTGTGTCCCTTTTTTATTGATGAAGATAAATAGACTCAGGGAAGTTTTTTCTTTTAAATTTTTATTGATATCTTTTGTTAAAACAAATTCATTTCCAAATATATTCCTGCCTTCCCCAGATAGCCATCCTTTGTAACAAAGAAAAGGAAGGTAGTTTAGTAAAATTCAGCAATATATCATTGTAGTCTGAGAGAATATTCAATATCATATATCCATTTTCCTATCTATGCAAAAAAGGTGTGGTGGTTGCATTTTTTCTTTTTAGGAGCATGGTCATAATTACATATTCATTTATATGATCATTATGTATAGTTTTCATGGTTTTTACTCAGGAAAGTTTCAAAGTCAGCAAGGGGGATAATTTGGTTCAAAATAGTGTTTTTTTTTCACTGCAAGCAAGAGAAGACACTTCCTGTTCTAAAGAAAAGATTTAAATCTGCTAGTATCCTTAGTTACCACCTACTCCAACCTCCCTCGAGATAAAAGTGAATCCCAGAGAAGTAAAGGATTTACCCAATATCAAACAGGAAGTAGTAGAAGTGGAATTTGAATTTGTGTTTTCTAATCTATAATATCTTGCTCTTCCCATTGTTCTCAGAAGCCTCTACTTTATTGGGGAGAAACCATGAAAATAAGAATACATGATAACTTCAATTAAACAAGTGCTGGGGTTCTGAAGACAAACATTAATTGAAATGCAGTACTTTATGTATAATATCTCATTTGATTCTTGAAGATAGCCCCTTTTTACAGGCTCGGAGATTAGATGACAACTGGGGCAGCTAGGTGGCGCAGTGGATAGAATACTGGCCCTGAAGTCAGGAGGACCTGAGTTCAAATCCAGCCTCAAACACATAACACTTACTAGCTGTGTGACCTTGGGCAAGTCACTTAATCCCATTGCCTAACTGCCCCCCCAAAAAAAAAGAAAAAAAAGAGAGATTAGATGACAACCCAGTTTAGGTGATCCCTCCTACTGGAAACCTTTCCTGATTCATCTTTATTTGTGCTCTGTCTCCTCAAATTATCATTTATCCACTTATGTTTGCTCATTACCTAGAACAAGAGAATGTAAGCTGCTGGACAATAAGGACTTTGTTGGTGGCATAGTGATCTTTCAAGGAAGATCTGGGTTCCACTGCTGCCTGGTAAGAAAGAGTCAAGAAAGGTTTTCAGTAGGAGGGATCACCTAAGCTGTCCTGAAGGAAACTAAGGGCTCTAAAAGGCCAAGATAAAGAGGCACTTATGTGCTAGGTATGGGGCAAAGGTTCAAGGAAACAAATTGGAGTGCTAAATTCAAGTGAGGAATGTGAGATGATCTGGAAAGGTAATCTTGGAGCCAGATGGTGAGATATCACCAACAACTTCCATATCCCTCTGCTGGCATCTAGGGGTACTGGGACTCCAAAATTCAGGGGCAAGTGACGAAAGTCCTGCCTTGAATGAATTCGACCCAAGCCTTTTAGCCAAAGACAAAGTGTATTAGAACACCTATTGGGGTGAGTGAGATTCCTGGTGAGTGCGCTGTTGGCTAGATTTTAAGAATTTGAGCATTTAGTGGAGGCAAGATGGGCACTTACATACAGTAGTCAAGGAGTGGCCAATAGCTTGGATGACTGGGAGCTAGCAGAGAAGGACCCAGAAGGGCTGAGTGCCCCAGGTGAACGCTGGGGATCTGGACTTCGTGGAAAGGGGTCTAGGTGTAAGTAATTAAGGGTGGATGGGACTGAAAGTGATCTGTAGGTAACAGACAAAGAAGGGCTGGGCTAGGTTAGAGGTAACAGAATTGGAGACTGGGGCAGGGTCAAAGCTATAATGCAAAGAATTGGATAGGGCTGGGTGCCCCAGGTGAGCACCAGGGACTTGGGCCACATGAGAAAGTCTAGAGCCTTTTAGGGGTCCATCACTAGTGCCCCATCACTTCAACTCCCAAGTCCAATCAGATGCCAAGTCCTGTCAATTCTAATTCTACACTATTCAGATCTACTGTGTCTCCTCTCCCAGGGCCACCACCCAAAGTTAGATCCTCTGGCAGCAATCCCTGTAATATTGTAAATAGCTTCCTCATTGATCTTCCCTGCTTTCAGCCTTACCCTAATTTATCTTCCACACAGAAACCAAAGCATTGAGCTAACCATGTCACACTCACATAAATTCAAATTATAGATAAGACATTTAAGGACTTTACAATCAGATTCCAACCCACCAGATGTCTTAGTTACATTCTGTTCCATTTTGGTTCTCCCTGGCTTTGCCCAGGCTATCTCCCATTCTTTGAATATATTCCCTCCTCACCTCAGCCTCCTTCAGGGCTCAACTCACGTGCTACCTATTATAGGAAACCTTTCTTGTGAGTGCTCTCAAACTATCTCATATTTATCTATGAATGAATGAAAAAGCATTCATTAGCATTTGCTATGCATTAAGGACTGAGGATACAAATGGGAAAAGTAATATGGTACCTGCTTTCAGGAGTTTATGCTGTAATTGGAGAGTTCAGAAGAAAGGACTATAATAAGGCCCCTAAGGATTAAGTAACAAGTCAGATAGCAAGACTCAATGGTCCTTAAGTTATGCTCCTAGGTCAGATGATAGTTCACAAAGGCCTGGAAGGCACAGAATTAGATAGACGGTAAGGTTCGTAGGCTGGTGAAACACAGTGAGAGTGCAGTTGGAAAAGCCTTGCGATCCTCCCATCTCACCCAAGGGTTTAGAGTTGCTTCTATCTCATTCAAGTAGTATGAGCTGTATGTAGTATCTAAAAGGCAATAGGGTGTAATGGATGTGGAGGACTAGCCTTAGAGTCAGAAAGACTTAAGATTTAAGTCACTCCCTGGACACATACTATCTATGTGACCATGGACCAAACGTTGAACCTTTCAGCGCCCCAAGCAATGCTCTAAGGCTACAATTTACAGTTGCAGATATGCCTTGGTAGAGGAAGTTTCCATACCAGTCTGGACCAATCCACATCCCACACCCTCAACCTCCAAATGATCTGTTTACATATTCTATCCTTCAGTATAAGGTAAGCTTGAGGGCAGAGACTCTTTTTTCATTTAAAAAATCTGTATGCCCAAAGCTTAGCGCATAGCCTTGCACATAGTAGGCACTTAAATTGAGTTGAATGTCTTCTCTACTTAAGCCACCCTTCGGTATAGCAGCACCACTCAACTGTTCCACTCTAAGCTCTCTAAATATGACCTTATTTGTTACCTTTCCCTTATATTGAGACTCTTCTTCTCCCCATCTTAACTTCTGATTCCTTGAACCATAGGAGCTCTGCAAATTTTTGTCTAACAGTTCCCTTCTGGTTCATTTTTTTCCACATTGAACTCATAGTCTGACATTTCAGTGAATTCCATGCCACCTTGAATTTCTTCCATGTCCATTTTTCTAATCCCCAAGTTGGGTCTAATGTATCCAATGACTCTAACCATGAACTCCTCCTACCCTTTCCTACCTTTATGCTTATGGTCACAACATTTGCAACTCCACCTGTTGAAAACCATTTTTTGGTTCTTTTAGAGAGTATAAAATCAGTTTATTTTTTAAAAAATTCTGAACTTAACAAGCATCAAATTAAATTAGCATTTCCATATACAAACTAGAAGAGAAAACGTGGATTTCACATAAAACTGGGAATCTTTTAAGTACAGCTCTCTTATTTTTAAATATGTCATATATTTAACATGTAATTTTCAAAGCTATACATACAACTTGTCTGTGATTCTGGCCATCAGCTGTCTTCTGTACATTTAAAAAAATGCTTCAATGCCTCTTTTTCCTTTTTTTTTTCTTTTTGTTACACTGTCCCTAGCCCCTGTCTTCCTTTTATCTCCATTTCTCGTTGCAAAAAAAAAAAACAACTTTTTTTAAAAAGAAAACAAAACTCTTGTAACAAATATGCATTTTTCTTGTTATTGAAGCAGGAGTAGGGAACCTGTGGCCTTCTAGGTCCTTGGGTGTGGCCTTTTGAGTGAGTCCAAGTTTACAGAACAAATCCTTTTATTAATAGGATTTGTTCTGTGAAGTTTGGATTCAGCCAAAGGGCCACACTTGAGGACCTACAGGGCCACGTGTAGCCTCAAGGCTGAAGGTTCTCCATCCCCATGGGTTGTTTCTGAATCTTTGTGACTCTATTTGGGGTTTTCATGGCAAAGATACTGGAGTGGTTTGCCATTTGCTTTTCCTGCTCCTTTTCCAGATGAGGAAACTGAAGCAAACAGGGTTGAGTAAGACTTGCCCAAGGCCACACATCTAGCAAGTATCTCGGGCGGGATTTGAACTCAGGTCTTCCTTACTCCAGGCCCAGAACTCTATCCACAGTACCACCTGGCTGCCCTAACAAATATGCATAGATGAGCAAAACAAATTCTCACACTAGCCATGTCCAAAAATGTATGTTTCATGTTGCATCTTGAGAATGTTGTTTCTTGGGGATGTATGGCATGGTT